AATTGAATGAAGAGAAATTCTATACGAGTTAGAAGTAAAATAAAGTTAAGGACGTGAGAAAATCTAATTTGATTAGAGAAACTTGTCTTATCTTGACTGTCCAGATGTTTATAACCTCATTACAAACAATATTCCAATTAACTGTTGTTAAAATACAATTACTCCATAGTCACAGTCAGTTGTCTGATGATATATAATGTTGGAGCATACAACGTGGTCAAACATTCACCACTCGATAACACCAGGGAAAACCCTTAACGGAAATATTTATTGATATTTGAGAATAGCAATAGTTTTTGCAGATTATGAGTGTATAGTGTGTTCCTAAATTCACTAACTCACGCGGACATCTATGCAATTACTGTGGTTCCCGCGTTCCAAAATTTTTGACTCTTCGTGATCATCTGTACGTTAAGACAACAATGGTATCACCACCAACCTTTGGACTCTTCCTGCCCCTTTCTTCGTTGAGACACCACTAGTATATCTTTATATACAAAATAAAAGGGTTCAGAACTTCGAACAGATTCCACCATTTTTCCCAAAGTAGAGATGCCCTCTACTAAACTTGGATTTGGCAAAAATGTTTTGGACGCTCTTCAGGCACCCTTGTAGTAATAATTAGGTTTGGAATCAGGCCAGCAGGATTCATTTTCTCGATGACATTCTATTCTAAAGAACCACAGCCCTTGAACCTTAAAGGTTAGGTTAGTTCATGTTTGTGTCAAGCGTTTTGATTTTGACCTAAGTTTCAGCTGAGTGATGTGTAATTTCCACCTAGGTTTACCATTCCATATTTGTCCCTTTAAGTAGACACTAACAAGATTTTTTGTCTATTTTTATGAACCTTCTTGTTTTGAACGTTAACACTAAAAGTGACATGTTACAGAAAGGAGAATGGGCACTACAATTTCCATCAGTAATTTATAAAATCTACTTTATGACGACATATAGGTTGATGGAATTGAAGAAGTTTCGACAAAGTGCTTTAAAGTTTCAAATTATATCGCAATGCTGAATAACAGAACAACTTTAATGATCCCTTGACAACATATTGAATGAAAACACTTTTTACAGTTACTGTAATCGGTTCATCAATGTCTGGTATATATTTTGTGAGGCATGTTGGTAGTATCTTTAAGAGATTGTATCAGAACATACATTTTCTATAGTGTATTTATCAGTTTAAGAAGCTGTATTCCCTATGAAAAAGCCGTGCTCTATATATAACATACTATGGTTGTCCAGCATGCTTTCAATTGCTTTCATTCTCCGCTTATTAACTTTACAAGAATGGAGCTTCCATTAAATGGTGAGCATCAGACGATTTGACCGAGGACACCCTATTGTGTTTGAGCATAATGTAACGTATCTTTTAAAGATTGCCATGAAAATTAACGCTTTGATTCATACATTCATTATTTTATTACTTGGAGATGAGAATGCAAAAACGTACTTCATAAAAATATGGAATAATGGGTTGTGAATAATATGTATTTGTATCCTAGTGGATTCTATTTCCCATCTGTTTGAAATTGTATAGAAAGTTAAGAAGTAACCATGTGTAATATAGAATTATAATAGAAAGAGATGATATAAAGAAGTGAATTAGGACTATAATGATATTGATATTATTGGTTTCTGTCTGGTCTGTTATTTTATTGGTAATATTACGTGACGAATCTGGCTTCAGATCAATGTTATTCATGATGTACCATAGTTTCCAATGTAATATTGCAATGAGATAGCATGCCTTGCCTTGGCACAGTTACATCAATTTTGGTATGCCACCGATTTGTGTCATGGTTATTATTTAATGTTACTGTGATATGATACTTTATCTCATGACGTTCTGGCCACGGTTTTATAGAACACTTTCAAGGTAGTTAATGGTTAGTCGTTAAATGACTAGTTAACGTCCTCTTCCAGATATGCTGATATCACAGACTAGGTAGTTGTTGGTAGTCGTAGTAGTAGTTGATCGTTGGATCCGAATCAATTAGATGATTTGGCACGACCATATTTAAAATCGTATTTGATTTATACACTAGCATAGTACGCATTCTAATATTTACTAGAAACATGCACATAGATATCATCATTAAAAACTCTTCGATCATAGTGACAAACATATATGTATTGCAGATGACATCTTGACACAACTTCGAGTTGATGAAACGTTTGGCAAGTTCATATCCCATACTTAAATATCTTTCGTAAATAATCAGACTAAAACATAGTGTTAAATATTACCATCTGGACAATCAACTGATTAAATAGACAACTTTTCACAGCGGAATGTAGTTGTGAGTTCGTGAAACTGTAGGTTGTAACCTTCGCCTACATCGAAATCAATACTTAAATAAACATAATGTGGTCTGAGATATAAAGTAATTGTACCACAGCTTGCAATTACTTTTACATGTAATCTCATTTTGAAACTCGATGTTATCACAATCTGAGACTGGAAATATCGTTCAGTATTAGTGAGATTCGTACAAATTTCAGATGAAATACTGAAAATACTGAGGATAACATCACATTTTAGATTGAGATTACATGTGGAAATGTTCATTCGTGATACGTTCTCTTAATCTCAAACTTTGTTGTACCCATCGTTCGTCCAATCGAAAGTTG